CCGCCCACCACAACAGACTTACCAGCTGGAGCCAGCTGTGTCCAGTGTCGAGGACTGCTGCCTGTTTAGTCTGCGGCCAAACCTCCGAAGCAGCGCTGAATCTTCAGATCCGATTTGACCGAATTTAACTGGGACAGTGATTTGAATCACCAAATCCAATCACTGTTCTTCTGAATCAGCTGAAGCCGAATCTAATGCTTGCCACTTCACACAGGCCTAGAGCACAACTAAGCTGTAGCCCTTCCCAGTGTGACTCTGCAGCAGGCGCACACAGTGGTTTTACCTGCCAGCAGTGGCACTTGGTTGTGAACCACTGAGGTAAGCTGAGCACAGCGGTGACTCTCAACTGGGAATGCCGCCACATTCAGAAAAGTTGTGGAGGGGTGCCCAGATTCTGAAAATATTGAGAACCACTGATTTAGCTTGTCTCCCTCTGGATTTCTTGCTGCTTTTCAGGATTTTTTCTAGGGTGATTCCCTAAACTTCTTGGCAGCAAGGCCCAGTTCAGGTCTTAGTTTCCTCTTCTGAAGGAAAGCTGTTCCTTACACACTCAGTCTAGGACACCCTCCTACTATGTACAGACCCTAGAGTTCTCTGTGGGACTACATATCTCAGAATGGCATTGTTTTGTGCTGAACCAGGCCCGTGCCTGGTCAAGTAAAGTTAACCCAAAGACCCCACAAAGGACTAGTGTAAGACTCTTGTTACAGTCGTAAGCTCGTAAAGAACCTAGCTTAAAAAAAATTTTCTTCAGGGCCCACCCACATCTGAGCTGAGAGTCTCTCTTTAACAATATTTAATCAAAGTTTTAAACAGATTCCCTACAATAATACCTGAAAGGCATTATAGTTGAAGCAAGATAAAATAATTCTGTCTCATCAAAGTTTTGTACAAATGTTTTCACAGTTTTCCAATAATAGGGAAAAATATATGAGCACTTATCCCCAGGATACCACAATATCCTTTCTCCAAAGACAGGTGAACAACAATTTTCTAAATCTGACAGATCTACTCAGATAAAAATCAGTTGGCAGGGGCCTGAGAAACAAATGTCTTCCCTTCATCTCTTTCGATTGCAACTTTTAGTGGAAAAATCAGTGGTTCAACCTAGTAGTTTATTTTTAGAAAAAGCTTTTAAGGCAGATTTATGCAGCTAATTCTATGAAATGAAATTGTAACTTAAAAAAATCACCTTAACAAGCAACAGAGAATATAATGGTTTAATGGAATATGCTGTGGTTTTCATCATGACCTAACTTCTGCTGTGGAATTAATATGCAGCATGTTGTCTTTGGTGGAAGTATCAGTAGAAGACAGAACTAGCCCAAAGCTATCCACAAGAGAGAAGAATTCCCATTTGAGGGCAGGGATGGACAATGTTGCTTCTAAAAAAAAATTACAGTACTCAAGATTTTCTTTTACACAGGAATTGGATCAGGCCATGACACACTTCATGCTTTGAAGGTATAGGAGATGCTGTCCTCTCTCATTTGGCTGTTGATGTTCTTATGCATGTTTCTCTTCTTTTATCCTTTCTTTTTTTTTCTTTTTAAGTCTTCTCATGCTCTTGCCCTCAAGCATGTCTTGTGGCAATGAGTTTCGTTGGTTAATTATATGGGTGGCTATAAGGTCTTTCATTCAGAATTGTATTGTTTTTATAAACAGAATTAAGCGACAAAAAAGTGACGACCATAGAAATGTAAATCGAATACAATATAACTTATAATAATTATTTAGCAACTTCCCTGCGCTGGAAGAGACAAGTGATAAGTGTTTAACATATCAAATGTCTTGGAAATGTTCCCTGTGAAGAACAGAAAGGTCCAGTGCCTACACTTTGAGTGCCCGTTGCCCTGTACAGTCATGTTTGAGCAATCCATCCAGCACTCTGCGGTGCTTTGCACGTGTGTACATCTACCATTTCCAGGCAGTCTTGGCAGTGCACAGCACAGCACCAGTGGAATTTACACTCACATTTGGTCATCCTGCTGATGCGTGTAGTGTCATACCCTCTTCCACAGCACATCACCTCACAGCTGTCCATCCCTCGGGAGGTTTGGTTACAAACCCGACCCGCTGTCCCTACAGAACCTGGAATGGAAATTGAAAAGATTTAAAAGACAGGGAAGATTTTAAAGAATAGGGCAGCAATATGAGGGAA